AAGCTGTATCGAAAAAATAAAATACTCCTCACGATCAAAGCTTCAACTTCATTTTGATCAGCCTCTTGTTAAAATAAGGATAGATTTTAAAGAATTGCAAGTATGATTTTATTTGAGGATTGTCATCTGTAATGCTGCAGTTCAGTTATATAAGAGAGGCAGATCTTTTTAAGAAAATATGTTATACAAAGATAATGACCTCATTGTTTTGTTTTTAACATTCTCATTCTGCACATTCGATTTTTGCGATCGACGAAATATATTTAATAAATAAACTTTTAGTTGACATATCCTGTTGTTATAGCACGGATTTGTTTCTTTTTAGATCATAGAAAAAAATCTTACATTTAACTTTATATTTTCTTTATTTTTCAAAAATAAATGATTTATTTATCTTTATTGTATAAAAAGAAAGATTGTATTTATATTTATTTCATAAAGTAAATATAAAGTAACACCCATATAAATAATGTATTATGCAAAATTTTATTTAACATATGTAAAACCTGTAACAAGTGTCGCTTCCTTGTCGTCTTTCATAGTATTAAGTTATAATCGCATATTTGGGTTTTTCTGTAACTGAAACAATTTATCGTGAACATGGCCAAATTATAAAACTTGTTTATGATTATGAAGAGCTGGATGAAGAAACCGATCTTAATGTATCAATAGAAAAACCCAATCTTACTCGATAAAATCGACATTGTCAAGCAACAATTATGCATGATGAATATGAACGTATGACTTAAACACATATATTGGATGAATATCCTTTATCACTTGATATTTTTGTGCATATTATACGACCAATTATGATGGGAACATATGTTGGCAATGAATTACAAGAAGTATTTGATTTATTTGATAAAGATCAATTAGGTGCAATTGATATTGATGAATTATGTGATTTTTTACCAATTGGTCGTTCTAATATTACTAAGGAAACATTATTACATTTTATAGGTAGTGGTAATATTGACACCAAACAAAAACTTAAGTTTCATGAACTTGCATGTATGATTTTACGTGGTATTGAACGAGATATCATATGTGGCAATATCTAGATGACTAGTATCAAAATTCGTAAAATTCTACTCTAAAATAAAAGAATTAATTCAATATTGAAAGAAAGAAAATAATAGTCATAACATTTGAATCAAGAACATAACGAACATTTTGTGAAGGATGATTCACAGTATATGTAGATAATTTTAGTTTTTTCTTCATGAAACTCAACTATCAGGTAATTAACATTTTCACAAGATGGGTAGATTGCTCTACAGTAAAGCCTCTCTATTGTAAACATCATCGAAATTATGCAAAAGTATTGAGTTTAGAGAGTTCAAGCATGGTTTGCTATAAAATGAAGAAAAGGTTCCAGACAATCCACTTCTATGATAGCCAAAGATACAGGTCTGATTGTTTATTCTTTTGTTCATTTAATTTTCATCTGAATGATTTGAATTGAAAGGTTTTCAAATACAACACAGGCTATAATTATTTTTAAAAAGAATCTTCTAATTTTATTTGTCTTTTAACTTTTGAAGCAATATTTTGTATTTTTCTGTACAAATCATTGATAACATTTTGATTCTGATTTGCATTACGTAATCAATATCATTTTTTCTTGTAAAATAAGTTCGTGTCCTGATCTCATTCTTTTCTTTACACGTGCAACAATCGTATCATACATAAAATGTCCTTATAGTGCATCCGAAAACAGGTGACAGAAATAGGGTGCTACTTTATTGACCTTCACATTAAAGAGTAAATATAAATAAAATGTTTATACTTGAAAAATAAAGATAAATAAAGTCTTTATATTTATAAAATAAAGATAAATGTAAGACTTTTTTCTATGATTTAAAAAGAAACAAATCCGTGCTATAACAATAGGATATATGAACTGGAAGAAGTTTGTTGCATACGAGTTTTCGGTCTACCAAGAAAACATTGTTATTAATTTCGTAACATGCCAAGAAATAGAACTCTTTTATTCATTTAACAAGTCCTTAATTGACGAGCAGTGAAAAAGCTTGGATGATATCTTCAATCGATTTTTATATTGAATTTTCCATTGAATATCTGTTTATGATACCATTAAAAGCTTTCAAATTTAGATTCGATGTTGCTACTACAATTTTATGAAAATCATAGTTCGTAAGAAACATTGTATGACCTTTATGCTGGTCAAATCTAAATTTTTTATTTTAAATAACATGATCTTGATGTTTAAAAACGATTTGGTGATTGTCATAATAATTGTAATAATAATAAAAATCAATATGTATCTATAGATGATGAATCTGTGAAATAAATAAGACGATGTTGAGAAAAACAATTCTCCTATATCACATATAATTTGTTCTAATTGATTTGATATCATTGTTGATGTACGATATTCAAATACTTGTTCATTAAATTGTTGTAATTGTGAAATATGCTATGATTGTATTTAATCATATATTGTATAAATCATATCTATAATAATAAAAAGTAAAAGTTTTTCTGTTTGAAAAAAATTGTACTAAGAATATATTTTGATGTTATTTGATGATAATATAGAACGAAACTAGAATTATTGATAATAGATAATTTTAATATTTCATGAAGTCCAAAAAAAAAATGTTCAACTTTTTTTGTTAACCCTTTGAGGACGGTGGGACATACCTTGTCCCATCTATTTTTCAGTAGAGAAAAAAGTGTTTAGTTCACATGAAACTATTAAATATGTAAGGACATTAAGGTCATAAACAATTGTATTTGTCATATTATACTTTTCTTTTCTTTCTTTCCTTCTCTCATATAAATTCTTTTCAAATATCCGTTGTCCTTGTTGCTAAGGTACAGTGACGTCATAATTTCTCTCTTCTCTTCTGATCGTATTTTTCGAGAATATTCTCATTCTCTATTGGGTATGTATATACTCCTGTTCTCATTGATGAATTTACGTCGTTTGTTGAATTTCCAAAACATACAGATTTGCTATAATCAGTTAGCTCAGGATAAACTAACATACTTAAACTACATGGTTTCAGTGGCGAAGTCTTTCTTCTCCGGCAGCGAACGGATAAGTCGTGGAAGACCTCCTTCTGAAATGAAGTCTAAACTAGCATCACCAAAAATTGTCCTTAATTTTGAGAATGAAATGCATTTGCCTGTGAAAGAAAAAAGAAGGAGATGTGCTTATTGCAGCACCAAGGAAGCAGAAGTTCGATTAAACATCGCATGCTTTACCTGCAAATTGGCATTTTGTTTAAAAGATGAAACAAAATTGTTTTTTTTGATTATCACAAGATTTTTATGTAGCCATTTTGATTTAAAATAAAATAAAAAGGTCGAAAAATGCTTTTTCTTTTAAAAAAAAATTCCGTTCTCAAAGGGTTAAACAGGAAACAGATAATATTGACATAATATGAATGTGTATAGAAATTTTGTTTTTTTCCTTTATGTATGAAAATAGGCTTTTCAAATGTTATGACAATCAAAGAAGGATCACCAATCACATTGGATTATTGTATGGATCGTGTTCGTGTTTTTGTTAATAATAAAGGCATTGTAGCAAGTGTTCCAAATATTTTCTAAACAATACGTTTGAAAATAAGACTGAAAAATCAATGAGACAAACTTTTTCTTTTTTTTTTTTCTTTTGAATATTTTTATAATAATTATCCCTTGTTAGTATAAAAGAATATGTATTGCATGAAACTCTACCTTTAATTATTAATAAATTATATTTACTTTTTTTTGTCATATGAGTTACTTATAAGAAGTTATTTCTTGAATATTATAGTCAATAAATGGTCACAGTGATTAATGTTATTACATCTGTAATGTCTTCGTCTTGTAATACTTTCGTACAACGCATAACGTTGAGTGTAATCCTTGATGATATTCGTCCTACTGAACGGCATCCAGAAATATATCAACATTGAATTATTATGAGATTAACATACGATTCTCATTCTTCTCACAAGGAACAAGAGTGAAGTGAACTTGAGAAAATTCGTAGTATGAATCTGACTGAATTCAAGTGATCTTGATCAATGTCTAAGAACCCACTTGAAAGAATTTGGCTTCAATGGAAATAATGCTGGTTTTCAAACCAATTGGAGTAGATAGAGTTATTTTCGATGTTGGTGTGTCTGAGTTGCGTGTACTAGCCACAGAGTCCAAATCGACCTCAGTTACAAGATAAGTTTTTTTATGATAAATGGCGCTGCAAAAATTTCTCTTAATAAAATATATTCTGAAACTGTTTTCTTCTCGATTAATTTGAATTCTTTCGAATAAATAATTCGAATTTGAGTAGAAAACACTCTCTGCAATCGTTTATACCTGAAACCGAATGTTGTAAGTGCTGCCGCCAGTTCTTATGAGTACTGCAATATGCTAGCGTTAGTGTGAGCAAACGTGCGACATGAGTTTTTCCTATGACAAAATGCAGATTTTCGCTTTATTTTGCTATTACAATATGTATTTCATCAGATTTAATCATTTATTTCCTGGAGTAAAATCCTTCTTTGACGAGTATTAATTGATATATTTACTATTTCTTCATATTTCGCACATTCTTGTTCGTCTTGCATAATGATACGCGTAAAGGAAGGGAGGGTGTGGCAAGTTGTTAGACAAAACTGAAATTTGCTTGTTACATTTACTTCAAGAAGTCAATAAACTAATCTAATAAAAATATATGTTACTATGATGAAACAAAGTAAATAGTAGAGACGATCTATTCTTTGTCTGAGATATAGCTTGTCAACAGTGAAAACAACATATACAATATATATTATCTCCAGCGAATAGAAGATGATGAGTTGAAGAGATGTACTTTGTTGATGTTTTTTCTTCTTAACGAAGTTAAAAGGTTATGAGAAATGTCCGAAAAGTCCGTTGAGAAAATTATAAATAGCTCTTCTTTCATATTAG